ATTGACGCTAGAAATGGTAATTCTCAGTAGTAGGTAGCTGTAAATTTATGTAATTTCATTTGATCCTTCAGGGCTTTTCGTAGCCTTCTGTTCACCAGGTGAATCGCAGTCATAACTGCTTCTATCCATAAATATTTTCCATTGATGCATTTGTTCATAACATCGTTCTGTAATGGTATTTAGCTGATCGTATATTACCATTGGATAGGTACCAATCTCCTTAAAAAATCCTCGAATTTCTCTCGATGGCTATTTTCCTCCGTTATCACGTCGAAAACGTGGAACTTTCCCATTAAATTATGCGGTAGTTATGGCAAAAATTTCTTTTACATTCGACTGCACTTTAGCTAAAAGGCAACAATATATTTCCGAAATGCATAGTCCCTATTTTTAATAATTTTTTCATTGAAATAGCTTCATTGAAAATCAGGTTAAAATTCAGCATTTTCATACAATTAATCGAAACAATGTGTCTACCTTGTAAAAAACAGTTTTCAGTGCTCTCACTTAAAAGAAAACACATCGCTGCGTTCTAAGTGCTTAGTTAGCTGATTACCGTAATTATTATTCAGAAAAAATCAAGTGGTGAAAATGAAACTATTGGTCTTTTACCTGATCGTGAACAATATAGCTTTCACTTTAATCGCTTCAACATAATAGCGAAAATCACGATAAAGGCCTGGATACAACACAACCATGCTGGTATTGAAATACACCAACATAATACGATATTTTCGCTAATAATTAACCGCCAATATACGTTACACGGTTTGATGAGCAAAAACTATTAAGTTACATTAGATATAGTCGAAAAGTAAATTCAAAAACCCGGCATGTTTAACTTTTACTCGAAAACGTGATTTATCTAAATTAACCGATGTAAGTTTAATTTTCGGTCTTGTAATACGATACTTTCTATATAGGAGTACAGTTGATTAAATTTAGATCTTGTTCCATAAAACTAAAAGCCAAATTAAATGTTTGTCAATAATTTTAGTGATATATCGGGCATAAAATGAACAATGGAGAATATTCGGGGGCACGTATTATTGAAAATAATTGTTGGGTACCTACCTATCTAGTTATTACAATAATTGATGTATTGTTTTTTTTTTTATTTGGTAATTCAATTAGCAAAAATTGCGAAATGTAAGTACTATTTCTTTTCGTTTCAAAAATCCCACCCAAAATTTCAATTAAGTTGGTATGAACGCAACAACTATCTATACTACCTTCTTGTTGATTCTCACCCACTCATTTATCTTCACGACCCTACGCACTATAATTACTTTGTACTCTCTTCAATTTGTTGATCATTGCAGTGAAAACTATTTCGAAGAAACATTGCTATTTCTTCCAAATCAGAATAACTCCTTTGACTTTGATTTAAGTATTCAATAGTTAGTGAACTTCCGTAGAAATAATTAATTCCAGTTTATTAGTAGATTAACCATGTGTCAATAATGCCGAGGTATATTCACGAACTGAGCCGCGTTAGCGGCGAGGAAGTAACATTCCGAGGGAATGATAGCCATTATTGCGAGTAGTATACTCTACTTTATTTACCACAAATTAATTTATTTGAGATTTTTAATGAACCAATTTCATCTATGTATCTCAATTTTCATTAAAAATCCATAAACACTACACGTTTCACAGTGACACTTTTGAGGAATAATGACCATTAATCCCTCTACTTCCATTCGTCATTATTCCCTGGGGGAATAACATATGGCATTTATACTGCCAAAATCACAAGTATAATACTTACACTATACATTAGTTGTAAATAAATATTGTTTATTGCTTGACAAATTTGCAGAAACGATATTTTCTGTTATTTCTTTCTTCTTGTTTTTCTTAAAGTCCGGATCCAATTTTTGCCAACTATTGTTTGCATATCACTTCATGGCTTTGGGTTAATACGTTTCTTTGTGTTATTCTTGGGTGTTATTCTCTAACTCTGTATCTTTTGTATTCTTGTTGTTTGGCAATGTGTCCAGCCTAACGCCATTTTGGTTGTTATTCTTATACTTGTATCTTTAACCCATGTTTATCTTATTTGTTAATTTTTCAAGCCGTCTCTTAAACTACTGATATAGTTTGTGATTCAGCAGCTATTTAAACTTTCGATACAACTTTCATTAATTTTAGAAACGAAATGATTGCTAGGCACTGTCTTACGATATATCAGTCCTAAAATAACCAAGTTTTATACCTATTTTAGGACCGCAATTTGGAAGTTTCAATAGAAGATGAAACCGCGAAATTAATTCATAAGATTCTCGTGTATAAGTGAAGGTTCTGGCAAAATTCAACAACGGCTGCTCGAGGCTCATATACATTGATTCTGAAAAACGATGTTATTTAAGCTTTGGGTTTGGAATCAGCCGAGAAGCATTCCGATGCCTAATGGATATCATCACATTTTGTCAACTCATTACCTACCTTCAACTATGTGATAGTAAGAGAAAGTCAAAGCTTTTTTTCAGTTTCACTTATTCCGCCTGTAAAACCTCTTGCAGATACTCCATCAGAGAGGAGTACCAACGTGTGTCACTGAAGTTAAAACTATTGGCTTTACTGCTTCAGGTGAAACATGAAAATCTGAGACAGGGGCGGCCGGCGGGTGCCTCAAAAAACTGGGGAGGGGGGCAAGAACAGTGGTTTAGCTTAAAGAGCCCGCCCTAGGCGAAACACTTTTTCGGGTGCCACGCCCGAAAATATTAATTTTGAGCCTTCAAAAAAAATGCATCTATCGTATGCTTTTGTATGAAAGAGACAAGAAGGTTGTATATAAAAATAACAAATTTTAAGTTTTCTTTTTAAAAAAAGTAGAGCCCCTCGACGCGCCGCCCCTGATCTGAGACATATTTTTCGAAAAGCTTCTTGGTATCTGGAAATATATAAATATTTGGAATTACCTTATGGAACAAGCTAAAACTACTAGGCACCTTGAGCTTTCCCATTGCCACACATTCTTCTGAGACCTGGATTTCAAAAGATGGCCACCGAAGAAAAATAAATACTTTTGAAATGTGGGGCTACAGAAGAATGCTCCGAATTTCGTACACAGAACATTGTACCAACGTATCAATTCTCAAGCAGCTGAAAGTCACTATAAGATTTTCAGCCAGAAGCAGTAATATCTCAGGTACTTTGGACACATTTCATCAAGAGCAAACGAATTAGAAAAACTTATTATCGAAAGAAAAAAAAAACGGTAAACGACTATATTTGGGCATAAGGAAGCAATGCTGTCTCGACTCTCGAAGTATCTTCTGGTCCAAAAAAATATTCAAAGAGTGATATGCTATTATCTGTTGTTTAGCTTCCTGGTTCCATAACCATCAACATTATTTTCAAATTTATCTCAGACTTTCATGCTGATTGGTGACCAATTTTACTGAATTTTTTCCTAAATCGTGTCTCTCCTATAGGTTGGTAGGAGTGGTTAGTCAGAAATTTACTTGTATGAGTGGGTCAAGAGGCTTATTATTGCAGCAGAGTGCACAATAGTCTTCTGTAAAATAACCTGAATGCCTGAACATTTTGCTGATATTTCGGAATATTTTCCTTTATAACATCTACATTCTTGTAGTGGAAGAACATTGAGGGCCTTTTCTATTGTAGTTCCGCACGACTTTTGTATTTTGTTGGAAGCATGCACGATCAATTCGGGGGAATTCTCTATTTTTGATTTCTTAAACTGCTTTTGGTGAAAATATAAAATACCCACATTGTGTTTAGGGTCAAAATCAGCGTGGCAGCAAAGTCTCAGCTTCAAAATGCCTTCTACTGGATTAACTGGGCTTCATTTTATAACTGCTGTTGCTTGTTCTGATTTTGCACGCCTGTCCCTTATGCTCTTTGTTTTCCCTAACAACAGATTAACCAGAACACCGATAATGACAATCTAATAAAAATTTGAATTATTTTTTTTTTTATGGAAACTTTTTCCAACCAAGAAGTTTAGGAATCAGAGAAAAATAAATGGAAAAGCATCTGAATTGAAATACTGCCGAATGAAGAATCGGGACGTCAGCTTCTTTATTTCCAACAATATTCAACTAGACTTTGCTTCAACTTTAAATAAATACATTATTCTTCTAGGATAACAAAAACAATGACAAATTGGTATAAACTACTCAGAGTTATCAAGAATTTACAATATGAGGAAAATCGACAGCAAAACCACAAATCATATGAAGCAATAATATATTAATTATTTTATAATTACAGAATTTATTCGAATCTGTATCATAATTCATTCATGATAAAATAATTTATAATAAATTGTAGCCTAGTTGACTACTTACCTTGTCCAATTTAATAAGGAAAATCTTGTTCAATGACTTTAATAAAATATATTGATAAAATTTTATAATCAAAACTCTAGTATTATGAGGAGCGTCTTACCTATATGCAGGCAGCACAAAGTGATTGCAAATAAGATGACACATCATAATTTTAACTAGAACATTTATAGAGATACATCAACTTCAACCAATCAACGCTTCAAACTTATTTATGCTTCATCTTCGTATAGGATGTGAATTCAAGTTTTTGAAATACAAACTTTTTGACTTTCCAAAAACACTAAGACACAGCCAAAAAATAGCATCTATTTCCAGAACTGTGTCAGTTTCGAGTAGAGAATATAGTTATTTGTTTTACTAGGCAGAAAAGCACAAGATTTAATGACGCGGTTGGTGTTTTATAGCCGAGGCTAGGGAACCAGCCAAGGCATTCAATCTGAATTTCTGCCTTGTGAAACCTATAATTTTTTATCGAATTTATTCCAATTTCACCCCACCCACACCAAAAAAAAAAGTTCCACTCAAAAACGATTACCTATCTACCAAGGTAATTATATTGAGGAATAGTGAGGATGATTTATTCAAAATACATTATTTAATTATTCAATGCCTGACACAGACAAACATTTAAATTACACCGATATACGCTTTTTATTCATATTATTTGATCTTTTATTCCAGACATTCGTCTCCATCTGTATAGCCTGTCTCGCAGCTGTGGTCCGAGCACAGTTTGGAGGCTTTGGCTTCAGTTCCTTTGGAGGCTTCGGTCTTGACAGTCCATTGACTTCTGCCAGAGATCCCAGACAGAACCCAGGTCCCGTTGTATTCCCACCAGCGCCGCCAGATAACGGCGAAACCAGCGGAGTCGTTGCAGGAGCTTCCGGCTATGGATTCGTGCCACCAAATAGTCCAAGTAAGTAATCAGAATTTCGCATTTAGAGCAAAAATACCCAACTAGCAAATTTTATTATAATTTGAACGTTGCGCTACTACTTCAAATTCAAAAATAGAGTATTTCGTTTTCAACAGCTTAATAGTTTTATATAATCGTCACAACGTTCACATACTAATATTAAAAATTATTGTATAAACTTGACTACTTATTGTTTAGTGGTTAGTAGATGTTTGCCCTGGGTAGAGCATGTTGTTGTGGTTTGGATAAATGTGATAAATTGATCTCGAAATGTGCGACGTAATTATTAGAATATTTATATTAATCAATATTCAGAATTTTTTCTTTTCTCGTTTCTTGGAAACAGACAAGACAAAAAACCAATTATGCAGAAGCCATGGTCTCCAGTGTTGAATAATAGAGCCCTTCTCCTTCACTCGAACATTGTGATGCACTCCCAGCATCCAAGATATCGATCTGATTTTGCCTATCATTTTCAGGCGATATTCTACTAGGATATGCACAGTGAGCGGGCCTACGGCTATTTTAATGTCTCTAATGTTCATTTCGAGAAGTTGTTTCAAGATCTTTTTTCTGCGATGGATACGAATTTTTTTTACCTGTCTCAGACCCCGAGTGGATCTCTAATTTAGTAATTTCCCCATCTCTTCAGTAATTTCTTTGTATTTTTTATTATTTTAGCCCTTAGTCATTGTTTGTAGTTCTTCAAATCTTATGGCGAATAGAACAATATCATCGGCAAAGCTGGGAAAGTTCAGTGTTTTGCTATTGATGTTTATAATTCCTTATATCCTATGTCCAATCTACCGATCTAAATACTGACATCTTCTGATCCGAGTGTGAAAAAATTTAATGATATCACGCCCTTTGTTTCGAGCGCTATGAGTATGGCATATGGCATTAGTTTTTTGTTGTAGATCTATTGTCATCGTTGCCTCTTTACCTCCCTACGGATATTTTGTATAAGTTGTCTTACGAGTGAGGCTTTTCTAATTATTGTTCCATTAGTTTCACATACGCAACATATTTGCCTTCACCTTTAGAGATGAGCTCTCTTTTTCGATCCATTAACGTCTTGCTTGTTTTTCTTGGGTACTTTAGATACATTTTAAAGTTGTTTATACATTTTTAACATTGGGCATGCTTCAGTTCTCGCATATATGGGGATCAAATTCGAAGCTATCGTTCGACAAAAGACGTCGGTGTCGCCAGGGGCGTGCGGTGAAATTTGAAGTACAAGGCGAAGCGTGTCACAGTAGGCGCAGTGCTTACGGCGCCTTGTCAGCAAAGAGCAGCGCACGGCAAGGGTTATATCATTATTTGGGCGGTCAAAATAGAAAAAAAAAATTATATGGGGATTATGGGATAATGGGACAAAAATTAGCGTTTGTTCTATTGGATGGGGATTTCAATAAAATAATAGATAGGTACCTATTTACGATACAAGTGAGTTAACAGCATACTTAAGATACGCGTGTGGATTAGTGTAGAAGTTGCACAACGAGTGCGTAGCACGAGTTGTGTATCTCACTGACGTAGATAAATATAATATTATATATAATGGTGGTATCATTTACAATGTCTCCGATGGTTGCAAGGATTGCGAAATCTGTGAATGTTTTGTTTATTCCATATATGTTTTAATTCTTTCCTGTCCTTGACTGAGCAATATATTTCTGTAGATCCCCAGATCAGCGTTTTGTCTTGTATGGATCTATTTTGACGCTTTTGAGCTTTTGTCAGACAAATCAATTGCCCTTGTTTTTATTTGAGCATCATGATCTCATAGTGTGTTTTGGCTAACCCAATAATCAAGTTAAATTCGAATGTAGAAAACAGGAGAATTTCTACATTGGAACATACAATAATACCTCTGAGAATACAAGAACAATAAAATGGGACGTAATGGGCATTTGGAACAAATTTCGAAACCTCTTTGTTAACCTCCTCCAAAATTTTTAGAAAAACTCAGCTGCTGCAACCACTAAATAACCAAATAGTCATGCGGCAAGCAATAGCAAGCACATTCAGTATATACTTTAATAAAACTATTGTATAATGCCTTCTTTACTTTTTTATAAATTTGTTGTGTAATGTCTGCAAAGTATTTATAAATAAGAAATTAACGATATTGAAGTATTATCTAAAGTGAATGTGATAAAATATAAAATTGCTAGTTGGGTATGTTTCATTTCGGTACCAGGATCATAAATGTCTGCTTAGAAACAGAATATTTTGCTACTTAGGTACATGTTTACAAAAGATTTCAAATGCGAAAAAAACCAAAAACATATGCGTAAGCTATGTACGTTTACTCTCATTAATCTCATTATTCATTTAAAACTATGCAAAATGGTCAATTTCGTAAAATCGTCGAGCCTAAATAGATAAAGCAATTTTCGCGTGCCGACAAAATAAAGTCTGATGCAAACATGTATTTACCAAAAATCAAATTGATTTAATATTCATTAGAATTTCAGGAATCTAAATCATTTGCTAATTTGCGCGATTTATGGGCTTTGGAATTCATAATATTAAAGCAGAATAATTAAGCTGGTATATTTTTCGAATTTCACTACATAGAAATCATTTTCAGTCAATTTCCAATAAATTTGGTGTAGATAGTAGATATCAATTCAATTAGTCAGTATTAACGCCATGTGGTTTTGAACATCTGCTTATTTTTTAGCTTGAAATCATAAGGAGCAACAATTTTTTTTTCAGAACGATTTAACTTTCACTTTAGATCAATCAATTGAAAATAACTAAGATTCTGCTAATTAATAACTATTTTAAAAACCAAATTAAATTCCTCTAGGCACCGTATTGATTGTATCGAGATTAATTAAACTTCAATGCAAAATCAAAATTTAATTTACTACAAAGACCCCCTAACTGAATTATTTCTCATGAAATTCGAGTCGCCCTTTGTTTCACAGGTTTCACTGGTTAATCAACCAGCAACAACTTGAGACGTGGGTAAGGACGACTGGTCTCTATATTACAAGTCCTTCTCAAGACATCAAGACAAATCTAGACCGCAAATCCCAACACTATTTCAGGGGGTCCTTTTGTTCTTATCTGATTTCCTGATTGACCGACTCGATACAATTTGACTTGTCCTCTTGGTTGAATTCGGTTGCAATAAATTTTCAAATATCAGGTTTAAACAGTGGGAAGGAATCCCTAGTAAATTTGCTTACAGAGTTGTGCTCATTTGTGTTTAAACAATTTGATGAGAACTAGGGAAAGAAGAGACGAAATGTGTAATAAGCTATTAAGTACGAGTTTTTCAAAAATGTTCCCAGAATAAGAAATTGTTCCATTTAAAATTGGGAGCTTAGATTCAGCATGACCCTAGTTTTATACTTCGTGTGTGGGTGGATTCAAGTGGGTAATAGAATTTTCTTGGATGAAATATCTTTTCATAAAATATTTTAATATTTGCTACATTGAGTTAAAACTTAAATCGACATCTCAAATTCAAATGAATACGATTTATCATGTAAAATCTAGAGAGGAAAATACATTCAAGTAACTCAATATCAAGCTGGGCCGCCTTTTTCTGAAAATTGGTGTCCTTCATATTCTCAATTTTCTTCTGTTTTACGCTTCTTTTGTTCCTGTTCCGAAGAACCCTGCTGATTCTATGTTATACTTCGAGCGGATTGGTGGACATCCTCTATTTATTTTGCCTTAGTATGGTATTGGTATGGAATTCGTCTGATCAATCCCATACTTGGATAACAAGGTAGTAGATGCGAGCCAGTATCAGCAATGAATAGTATCTTTGGTACTGGACATTTTCCTGAAAAATGGAAGAAAGCAATTGTGGCTCCTATGTTCAAGGGACACATGACAAAAAAACTGCTAACCAATGATCCTTATCACTAATCTTCTGTAAACGCATGGAAAAAGTAATTATTGGAGTAAAATAACGTCACCTCATTTTTTCTGGGTAGCCATACCATTCCATATGAGCACATGAACACAGAGTGTACTCAAAATACAATTGGATCTTAATTTTTGAGAACTATTTGACAATATTCCTGTTGACCCGCTCATCGACAAACTCAAGTAACGTGATGATAGGCGAAATCTATTCATCGGCGACTTTTTCCAGAATCGTATACATGTACCATCGTCACCAAAAGTATCTGGGACACAAATAATGTATAATAATCTCCTGGACTAATTCTACTGTCATTCATTTCAATGCATTTAATGCATAGTTTGACAAATATTTGACAATAAAATTCATATAATAGGACAAGAGATAATGTGATGAGGTCCCAGTTACTTTTGGTGACGATGGTACAGTTATGAGCGCCCTGTTGTCCATTGTCTATCAGAGTGGAAATATTGTATGTATATTCCATGGATCTGAATACCGGGTTCTTTATTTTCTGCGGACGACACAAATATATTCTGTCATCCTATAGAGCAATCACAAAATTTGGAATCAGATCAAAATTATAGGACTTGAAAAAGGCAGAAACCCTTATACAAGGTGACCTGGATAAGGATGCACTCCACAGGGATCTCCGCAACTATAAGGGATACAGGGTTGGTTAAATTTGGAAAAAGTTGCGCATTACTGAGATCAGTGGCGTCATGTTTTGATATTTCCGATATTCCGAATGATTCCGAAGATATCCAAAAAAAAACGAATTTTGCCGTTTACTTTTTCCTGATTTTATTTGAAATGATATCGCAAAATAAACTTCACATTCTCGTTGCCACTTTTTCTGTACTACATGATAATGTTATTAGATTTTTGATCAGACGTTTCGTTTCTTCGCGATCATCACCAACTTTGTTTTTTCATGGTCGAAATTTTTTATTTTATGCCTAAAACTCTACTTTTTATTCTAAATCCAACGACATGTCAAGCTCAAAATTCCAAGAATATTAATTGCCACTAGTGGTCCCATTAACGGGCCTCCGCGATCTCTAGACATTACACGATGGATTTTGTTTTTTGAGGATTCCTTAATAAT